AGCATGCGGCGGCCGAGGCGGCGGCCGAGAAGGCGGCGAAGGAGGCGGCGTGGGCTGCGGGCGCGGCGGAGAGGGCGGCGCAGAGGGCGGCGGAAGAGAAGGAGGCGGCGCGGCACGCCGAGGAGCTGCTGGCGGAGGTCGAGGCGGAGAAGCGCGCCAAGGGCAAGAAGGGCAAGAAGAAGAAGAAGAAGGGCGGCGGGAGCGGCGGCGCTGGGCCGTCGCAGGAGTCCGATTCGCCGGCAGAGGCAGCGGCAGCAACGCCCGCGCCGTTGGACAGGGAGGGGTTGCTCCGGCTTCTCGCGGAGCTCCACGAGGACAGGATCCGGTTCGGCATCACGCCGGAGACGTCGGTCGAGGGATTGGCGGAGGCGCTGGGAGAGGCGGCGGGCGAGGCGAGCGAGGAGGAGGGCGGCGAGGAGACGGCGGAGGCGGCCGAGGAGGAGGGCGAGGAGGAGGGCGAGGAGGAGGGCGAGGAGGAGGGCGGGGAGGCGGCAGCGGAGGCTGCAGCGGAGGCGCGCCGGCAGGCTGGGGCGGAGGCTGCGGCCGTGGCAGCGGCAGAGGAGGAGGCTGCCGCAGCGGAGGAGGAGGCGGAGGAGGCAGCAGTAGCGGCGGCAGAGGCGGCGGCGGCAGAGGCGGCCGTGGCGGCGGCGGCGGCAGAGGCGGCGCTCGCCGCAGCCAAGGCGAGGCGCGCGTCAGGTGCCGCTGCGAGGGCCAGGGCGCGGGAGGCGGCCTAGCCCGCGCGCAAGGACAGCTGGCGCCGTGGCAGCCATGGGGAAGGGTCTCTCGTACTCTGGGGTGCGTTCTCTTGTGAGCGATCGTGGCTGTGGGCTGGGCCCCGCGCCGCGCGGGCGCGCGTGCGGTCCCTCGAGGTCCCGCCGGGAGCTGCTCACACAGCTGTACGTAGGGTGGACGGTGTGGACGGTGTGGGTGTGGGCGTGCAGTGCGTGGGGAGCGGTGTGGCCGGGGAGAAGGTGTGGCACGGCTGCCGCGCGCCGTACAGCCCAGAGGTTCGAGAGTCGGCGGGCCTTTCTCCTCTTGCCGAAGCGTTCGAGGCCATTGTGAGCTTTGAGCGGGATACCCGACAAAACGATTTGCTAAAAATCGGCGGGCGATCCATCCCCATGGGCGACGGATTGAGGGCCCAACTTGAGAATCGTGCTTTTTTGGTTAGGGATTCCTGTGAGTGACTTTTGTTTTCTTTGGATTTGACGTCTCACAACACCGCCCAGCGCAGCGCGAACACGCCGTCTGAGCCTAGCGCAGCGCGAACTCGCTCCTGTTCATAGCTGCGCAACCCTAGCCAACGCCTCCCTTTTATTTTTTGGGATTTGACGTCTCATGGGCAATCACAACACCGCCCAGCTCACAACAGATGCCAGGGTGTCCCTTCACGGTCGAGGGGCGCCTTTCAAGCTCCACCGGAGCGATGAGCGGCGAGCCCCGGTGCTGCGGCTGCTGCTGCGGAATCAAGCAAGGGCTGATGGTGTGATTGCTTGCCACCATCATATTTTGCCACGCCTGCCGTCTCCCAAACCGCCCCTCCCTGCTCCCCTCACCCTTGCAGTGGTACCTCGGCGTGTGGTACCTCGGCGTGTGCTTTGTCCTCTCGCTGCTCAGCATCCGCTTTGCCCCGCTCCCCAACGCTCCCAATGGCGGGCTCTTTGTCACCGATGCCATCGTCGACCACGCTAACGAGTACTGTGAGCGAGATCCAGTGTGCGATCAGGCCTGCTCATGCAACGTCTGGAGCGAGAAGGATTGCGACTTTGAGGACATGGCCACCCTCTACGAGGCGGGGTGGGGGGTTGGCTTCGGCCTCGTAATTCTCGGCCTCGTAATGTACGCAGTGGCCTTGATCGGCGTGGTCCTCGCGTCGCCAAAGCTGCTCAAGCAGTTCATGTTTGTTTGTCATGCCGGCGATTGTGCTGTTGGCGCTTGTCCCGGTGCTCATCTTCAACGTCGTCGCGCGACACCCAAATCTGGAAGGCTTGGCTGTTGAATGACCCAGGCGATTTAATAGCAATAGCCGCAGTAGTAGGCTCCTCAGTTCATATAAGAACCCACGCCCTGCGCCACCACCGACGTCACCAGGCAGCAACGACTGGAAGTGCAACGAGCTCGTTCCCAAAGGAACGAGCCTTGATGCTCTCGACTTCGCAATTTGCTGCGCCAGATTCGTGCGCCCCCCGCCGCCCCTCTCCTCACCAGGGCCCTTCCACTCTCCCGCGCCAGCCCTACCTCCCGCCCACCCACCCACCCGCCCACCCCTTGTGCGCGCAGGAGGACGACGTTGACCGCCTCCTCACCATCGGCAGCGCCGTGTGGTGGATCGTGTACTTCATCCAGATGGCCGTGGTGGCGAGCCAGGTCTTCGAGGTGGGCGTGCTCATCGCGTACCTTAATACGAGATCGCACTCTCCGCTCGATCTCGCGGGTGGCGGCGGCGGCGGCGGCGGCGCGGCGGCGGCGGCCGCGTCGCTGTTGGACTCGCCGTTCGAAGCGGTTACTACGCCAATCGAGACGCCGACGGGATTATATCTGCCGCGGGGATCGTCGCGCCCTCAGACTGATTTAGAAGCATAGAGTTGCTGCGTTTACTTTCTTATTCTTTACCCGGCGCCGAAAAAAATCGACGAAAAAAGAAAGAAATCCCGCGTTCGCCTCCCGCTCTGTGCGCCGTGTCCATGGAGGTTGGTCTATCAAACAGCCTCGCGGATCCGCAGACCTCGACAGAGTTTGCGGGCGTTCCCGCACGTGATGCAGCCGCTACCGCCGCAGCTACAGTCGCCGCCGCCATCGCCTTGTCCGCCGCTGCGACCGGCCTCGTCGACATTCTGATCGTCGCGTGCTCGCCCCGTGCTTTGCCGCCGTTGCCGAACGCGCTGGTGGAGGCGAATGCTATTGCCGACTGCTTTGAGTGCGGCGGCCTGGCTGCGAAGACAAAATTCGGCTGCAACGCGAGCGAGCTTCTCGCGCTCCTCCGCGAACACGAACCGCGGGTGCTGCACTTTATCGGCCACTGCGACGCCTCGCACAGCATCACACGCGAGCGCACTCTCGGCCTCGTACAGCCAGATGGGAACGTGGAGCAGATGCTCCCCGCCACGCTCGTCAACATCATCGGGCAGACTGGCCGCAGCAGGCTGGAGCTCGTCTGCCTCAACGGCTGTGAGAGCGAGGCGATGTGTGTCGCTCTCGCCGAGCGGTACGCGCTGCCCGCCATTGGTTGGCGAACCGTCACTGCAGACAGCGCGGCCAAGAGCTTCGGCGTGGGCCTCTACCAGCACTGGCTCGCCGGCGCGGGGCCCTCCTCGGCTTCTCGGGCGCGTGACAGCTTCAACGGGGCGCGCAACGCAGTGATGGCCATCTCGCGCCGCGGCAGAGACGCGTGGGCGTTGATGGACCCTCGGGACTGCGGCTACCGCGCGCTTCCGGACGGCCGCCGGCCGGCGGGTGTCCCGGTGCTTCTGCAGCGGCAGCAAGTGCGCGGCGACCTGCCTGCCATCCCCGACCACTACACAGTGCGGTCGGCGGATGCGGCTCTCCGCGAGAGGCTGATCAAGGACGGCCTGCAGTCGGTTTCGCTCGTGGGCGGAAGCAGGGGGGGCGAAGTTGCCGCCGCGCTGGCGGGGACCGCCGGCCTCGGCAAGAGCACCCTCGCCGCGGTGCTCGCCCTCGACGTCCGCGTCCAGTCGGCCTTTCACGATGGCGTATTTTGGCTCCGCTTTGGGCAGGAGCGCAGAGCGCTAGACGTGCTGCGCGAGCTGGCGGGCATGCTCGACGTCGACATTTCCGCGGTTGGACAGAGGCACACGGCCCAAAAGCAGCAGGCCGCAATCGTCGATGCCATCAAGCGTTGGCTCGATACCCGGCGCTGCTTGCTCATTCTCGACGACGTGTGGGCTTTCGAGCAGGCGCAGCCGTTCACGCGGCTGCATGCCGGCCGGCTATTGACGACGCGGGTGCGCGAAGTGGCCACGCGGGCGGGCGGCAGGACGCAGGAGCTGGACACGCTGGAGCCGAGGCAGGCGCTGCGCTTGCTCGCGGCGTGCATGCAGACCGACGCCGACCTCTCGACCGATGCGGACGCGAGCGAGCTCGTGCGGCTGAGCGGCGGGCTGCCGGTGGTGCTCGAGCAGTGGGGCGCCGTCTGCCGCGACCAGAGCATGGGCTCCTTCCTCGAGGAGTTGCGGCGGGCGCGGGGACAGAACGCCTTCGTCGAGGTCGATGCCGCAGGCGACTACGAGTACGACACCTTCTTTGCCGGCATGGAGGTGCAGCTCTTGCGGCTCGAGGCGACCGACGCGCGGATCGCGCGCTGCTGCTGCAGGCTCGCCGTGCTGCCCGAGGACACGGAGATGCCGCTGAGCGTGGCGGCGATGCTGTGGGGCGTCGACGACGTCGATGCGGCGACGAATGCGCGCAAGCTGGAGGGGCAGAACTTGGTGAAGCGGACGGAGGCGGGCGGCCGCACGGAAGCGTCGCTCTCGCTGCTCGATTTGCACTTGCAGTACTTGCGGCACCGCGGGCGGAACGCGATCGCGGGTTGGCACGCGGCGCTGCTGCGTGGCTGGATGGAGGGGAGCGTTGGCGGGGTGCTCAAGCCGGCGGGCTACTGGATGGGTGCCGGCATGCTGAAGCACCATCTAGGCGGCGCCGGGTCGGTGTTATTGCCCGAGTCGCTGACCGAGCTCGACATCAGCGGCAGCCGCGTCGGCAACGAGGGCGCCAAGGCGCTGGCCTCCGCCCTCGAGGGCAACGAGGTGCTGACCGTGTTGGACGTGCGCAGCAACGACATCGGCGACGAGGGCGCCAAGGCGATCGGCGAGGCGCTGCGCGGCAACGGGGTGCTGAAAACACTCCGGCTCGGCGGCAACAACATCGGCGACGAGGGCGCCGCTGCGATCGCCGACGTCCTTCGCGTCAACGGGGTGCTGACCAAGCTGAACCTCGACGGCCACGAGCTCGACCTGCCAAAGCTTCGCGGCACCGACCCAGTCACGTCGCTGGACCTCGCGGACAAGGACCTCGGCCCTGCCTCGGCCGTCGTGATCGCGTCGCTGATTGCGGGCAATGGGGTCCTGACCAACCTCGTGCTCTGGGAAAACAACATCGGCGACGAGGGCGCCAAGGCGCTAGCAGCCGCTCTTCGCGTCAACGAGGTGCTGACCAACCTCGTGCTCTGGACCAACAACATCGGCGACGAGGGCGCCGCTGCGCTGGCCTACGCTCTTCGCGTCAACAGGGGGGTGCTGACCAACCTCGTGCTCTGGACCAACAACATCGGCGACGAGGGCGCCAAGGCGCTAGCAGCCGCTCTTCGCGTCAACGCGGTGCTGACAAACCTCGACCTCACTGGCAACAGCATCCGCGACGAGGGCGCCACTGCGATCGCCGAGGCGCTGCACGTCAATGGGGTACTGACTGACCTCAACCTCCGCGACAACAACATCCGTGACGCCGGCGCCGCTGCGATCGCCGAGGCGCTGCGCGGCAACGCGGTGCTGACCACCCTCAACCTCGCGCGCAGCAACATCGGCGACGAGGGGGCGGCTGCGATCGCCGAGGCGCTGCGCGGCAACGAGGTGCTGAAAAATCTCGACATCAGCTACAACGAGATCGGCGACGAGGGCGCCGCCGCGATCGCCGAGGCGCTGCGCGGCAACGGGGTGCTGACCACCCTCGACCTCTCGTTCAACGGCGGCCCCGAGGGCGCCAAGGCGCTGGCTTCCGCTCTTCGCGACAACGAGGTGCTGACCAACCTCGACCTCTGCGACACCGGCATCGACGACGAGGGCGTCAAGGCGCTAGCAGCCGCATTTCGCGTCAATGCGGTGCTGAAAAACATCGACCTCCGCTACAACATTTTGGGCGACGAGGGGAAGGGAGTGATTCGAGATGCGGTGAGCGGGCGGGAAGGGTTCAAGCTCGAGATGTGAGCGGAGAGAGCGGAGTCGCGGCGCAGGGAGGTGCATGAAAGCGGACAGTCTTGTACATGTATGTCTTGTCCGTGGTGGCGCTATTCGGGGCGCCAGTGCTTTCTTTTTTATTTTCAGCAGGGCCGTGCTGACGTGACCTCGGCTTGATCCTTGAGGTGCGAGTCCGATACGGCTTTATGGGCCGCGGCCCGCAGGCGCAGGCGCAGCGCCGGCGGCGCGCGGTGGGGCTGGGGGGCGGCAAGCCGACATGAACTGTATCGTCGTCGTCGTCTCTAGCCAGTCACTCTAACTCTCAGAGATGGGCTAAAGAGGATCCGGAGCGCGGTAAGACTCTGGGGTGCCGCTTGGCAGAGCGGGGGGGGGTGGACGGTCACCTGGATCGTTGAACTCGGAACGTTGGCTGGGGCTGCCGACGAGCGGCGCGGGGGGCGACGTCGGCTCCGCGACGCCGTCGGCCCGGGAGCAGCCGCGCGCGGGGATGACCTCGTCGTCGCTGACGAGGAGGTTGCGCAGCGCCTTCTGCATGAAGGAGAGCATTGACGTTGCCGGCATCGGTAGTCGTTCGGTTCGGCCTGGCTGCCCTGCGCGCCGGGGCGCCCGCAGCGTGCGTCGCTGGCGGGCCGGCGGGTAGCGCCGCCTCCGCTCGCTTGAGAACTGGTCGATTGGCGCCTGTCTGAGCAGGAGCCGACGCTAGTCGGGAGCTGTGTCAGGAGCCTCGTGGCGCTCGGAGGTCCCGCGCACAAAGCGGCGGGCAGCGGCGGGCGCGGGGGTAAGAGGGTTCCCGCCCGCTAGGCGCTGCCCTCTGCGCCGAGGCTCGACCCGCTTCTCCTCAGTTCACTAGCACAAACTGAAGTTTGTTTATCAAGATCGCGGCCCCCAACGGCGCGACCGTGATCGCCGAGGCTCTCAAGATGTCTCTCGCTTGGGGATCCTAGTTTTGTTATACTCTCATGGGACACAAGAAAGAGGCTGTTGGCTGTACTCTGATCTCTGTGCTGCTCGCGGATGCCCGGTCGCCGGGTCGGATGCACTCGGACTGCCAAAGCCCTATCTGCCTCTCTCTGCTCTGAATGAAGTGAAGCTGCGTCGGCGACAGCGGCGACTCCGCCCCGTCGCCAACTACCGTGCGTCGCTACACGTGCCTCCCTCCGCCCTCCTACCCGGCGGCCGCCTCGCCGCCGCGCATGAAGCTTCATCCGATGATCCGTTGTGGCCGTCGCCTCGCAACGGTGGCGGTGGTCGCCGTCACGCGACCAGCGGGGGCGGCTCCACCTCGGGGATTTTGTTACGGTCACGGTCGACACTCCCGCCCTCCCGACCCCTCGACACCCCTACAGCGGCACCCCACCCCTGCCGCCGTTTTAGCTTTTAGGGCATCGATGCCACCTGCTCTCCATCGCAGACGAGCTCCCAGCTCCGCTGCCCGCCATTCTTGCCATTGCCAACGGTAATTTGGTACACCACAGCAGGCGCGAGATTCGGAGGCGGAGGAGATGAAAACGGGAGCGGTAACACGGGCGATGGCGTTGCAACCGGCGGCGATGGCACTCCAGTCAGGCTGCCCGCATTGGCAGCGGCAGCGAGGCTGCCACCGCCACCGCCGCCGGCAAGCAAAACTCGCGCGGCTTCCTGAGTATTGGAGCCGCTCGCTCGCGCCGCTTGCGCGAGAAGCAAAAGGGCAAGATGGCAAGCAGCAGCAGGCGTCGTGCGGAACCGGGTCGGCATGGAGGCTTCTGACGCCCTCGTCCACACTCAGGTGGGACGTTGTGGACGCCACAAAGCCGTTGCTTGGGACATTAGCTAATGACAACATTTTACGTCCGGAATTCGCCTCCCGCAATGCGAAAATTCTTTTCACGGTTTTGAAGTGTGCATTGCACTCCGGGCATTTGTCAATCTCGCACTCGCATAGGTAATACACACGGAGCATTCGCACGAAACACAGGAGTTTGTTATGAATATGATTAATAAATAAAACGGGACGCAATGGCCCACAACTATCAAAATCGAATCCTTCTGCCTTCTCAGGACTGCTCCTCACACTCACTCACGCCGGGGCAAGGGTTGAGGGAGGCGCCCAACTTGTGGCCCGCCGCCTGAGAGAGCGGCAGAGGCTTAGCGCCCATGCCTTGAAGCACCTGCCGCAAGCTCACCTTGCGCAGCTCGGCGGACCGGTACAGCGGCACCGCGAGGTCGTTGAAGAGCTTGTGCGGCGGCAGCTGCAGCTCCAAGGGCGTCCGCTCCTTGAAGATGTGGAAGGGGCACCCGCCGCAGTCCGGGTCCTGCTCCCACAGGAGTACCACCGGGCAGCCCGCCTCCCTCGCGCGAACCAGCAGCGACGCGAGCGCCATCTTGTCCTCGCAGAAGGTCTGATTGTTGAGCAGGAGCAGCAGCGACTGCGATCCGGCCGCCAGGTCGGCCGCCTCGGCCTCTTTCACCGCAACGGGCAGCGCGCCGCCGCCCTCGGTCGAGGCGCCCGCCACCTCTCCCGCCACGAGGCGCGCGCCCGGGTTTACCCGCGAGACGAGGAGCGTGTGCTGCGCTACAAAGCCGTGGGGCGGGCACTCGCCCGAGTTGGCTACGCGCAGGCCCGCGGCGAGGGCGTGACCGCCGCGGTGCCGGTAGTAGCGCGAGTGGCCCAGCATGCGGAGGGTGATAGCTTTGAGCGTCTCGAGTTGATAGGCGCCCAACCGCACCCACTCAATCGGCTCGACGGCAAAGACGCGGGCGATCGCCTCCTCCGGACCGCGGTAGGCGGGGTATCCGGCGGGCGACTCATCGATGCAGTGGAGGTGGCACTCCGCCTTCAGCTCCTCCACCGTCGCACCGCCCTTCCCCTTGTCCACCTCTCGGACAGCGATGATGGGCTTTGCGCTGGCGAGGGCGGCGTAGAGCTCGCGACGGCAGTTGGCAGAGCGGAAGTAGCCGTCCGAGAGAAAGACAAGGACGGCGGCAGAGTCTTGGATGGACTCCTCAAGCCTGCTGATGTCCTCGAGCGAATCGACGTCGAGCCAGATGTTTATTTGAGGCAGCAGCAGCTTGAGCTGCCGCGCGATGGTGTGAGTCTGGTCTTGCCCCGTCCCCCAGGCGTGGCTGAGGAAGAGGTGGAAGTGGCATTGGTCGGGGAGCTCGAGGAAGGGCTCGCGGCCTGTCGAGGCGAGCCGGATGGAGGGCAGCTTGGCGCACGCCTTCCCTCCGATGACGAGGAGCGAGGCGAGCAGCATCGCCGCGGTGAGCCCCACGGCTGCAGCACTCCAGGCGAGAGACGAGGGCAAGCCGGTGAAGTCCTGGCACGTCTGCCGCCACTGGCCCTCCTCACACAGTTTGATACCGACGCCCGAGACGAAGCTGCAGGTCAACAGCAGGTTGCTCGTACAGGCGAGGTACAAGTCCGCTGAGTTGCGATACGGGCGGGCGAGAGCGAGAAGCGCCAGGTAGGTTGCCGACAGGATGGACGCGACCTGGAGCCGCAGCAGGCGTCGCGCGCCGTACTCGGTATCCACGAAGAGGATACCAGAGGTCAGCACAAGCTTCCGCGCCATATCGACGACCTCCCACCACACAAAGCTGACGTCGTAGTCGCGCCAGAGGAAGCGAGTCGCGTGCGCCAGCCGAGTCATGTGGTGGTTGCGGACCGAGCTCCGCACGCGCAGCGTGAGGAGGAGGAAGACAGCCGGCACAAGGACAGGCCACAAGAAAAAGAAGGCCCAGAAGTAGCCTGCCAGCTGCCGGAAGTCGTCGTTGCCCCAAGCGCCGTCAGGGCCCTCGTTGCATCGCACGCTGGGGTCAGCGACGAGGTAGCTGCGCTCGTAGTCGCCGTTCGGGGCGTCGCGAAACGAGTACGGCGCGCACTGCCTTGCCTTGAAGATATTGCGTGACACCGACGGCAGCGCGAGAAAGAAGACGAAGATCCCCAGAGCGAGCGCGGAGCCAAGGACGCCGGAGGTGGCGCGGCGAACGGCCAGGCCATGGGCGGCAAGGGCGAGCAGGAGCGCCGCAACGGCTGCGTACGGCCAGAGCGCACTGATCAGCAGCCTCGCCTGCATGGAGCCGAGACAGGTCGAAGGAATGGTCATGTCGAGCGCGTTGAAGTCAAGGGCCTCCAAGGCGCTCGTCCAAAACGCGAGCTGCGGGTCCAACGTCACGCCGTACACGGTGTGCAGCGAGACGATGCACTGGCAGAACGAGACGACGATCTTGAACTTGACTTGCAAACCCAGGCGGGGAACGAACCCGAGCCAGCGACGCGCCACCGGATTCCGGTACATGGCCACAGCGAGAATGCCCAGCAGCAGGGCGACGCAGAGGCGCTTTCCTGCCGTCGAGGCTAGGTCAGAGGCGCTTGGGCAAGCCTGGCATCGATTGGCCTCCTGGCTGAAGAAGTGGGCCTCCTCGCACGCCTCGCACTTGGGACCGCTGTGGCCTGGGAGGCAGTAGCGGTCGCCAGTCGTCTTGTCCCACTCGTCACCCTCGCCAGT